GTCCATTTACTGTACCACTTACATTTTAGTGTGGGCTTCATCCACTATTCTGATGTTGGCTGGAACATTTGTACCAGCTGCTGGTTTGAAAGGGAGGCATACCATGTGCCAATTCAGGAAGCTTTCCACGTTCCTCACTGCATGTCAGCTCAGGACCTCACTACCATGTTGGGAGGCAGTTGAAGACTAACCAATCAACATCCCAGGCTGGAGAGCAGTGCCAGCTCGGGGAGAATTTACCACCTGCAAAAAATTTAATACTCTTAACAATCTACACCATCTATCTCACCTTTACCTAGCCCCCAAACCTTACATTTGTCAGCATTAAACTGCATCTGGTAGTCTTAACCATTTCAAAACTATATAGGGCATCGTTATTTTTTATTTGCCAATTCTGCAACTATTGCAGTCTAAACCATAATCTTGCGAATAACCGAGGTCCAAGGAGAGCTTTTAGGCACTACTTACAACACTTCTCCCAACTTAACCCCATTTATACCAATTTCCTTTGGTATAGCCATGACCTAATCAACTTCAGTCAGCATTCCCAATGATCCGAGCCCCTATCAATTTTGCGCCACTATCAAAATCTCTGCTGAAGTCAAGGTACACAAAATCACAAACCTTATCACCATTTTCTCAACTATGCAACCTAATCCATGAACATTCAGTAATAAAACTACATATGCGATTCATGTATCTAGTCATGTTTCTCAAAAAGAGTAGAGAAATGGCACTTGCAATGTTAGATTCTAGTAACTTTCCTCACAATAGACTAAGCTAATTGGTCACTAACTTAAGCGTTAAAGTTAACTCAAACTTTTCCTTTAAAACTTGCTATATTAGGAACTTTCCACGACCGGCCTTTACCCGACATAATTAAATAGGGTAAAAACGGTATATTAAATGCAGTAAAACTACGGTAAATTCAATATGATAAACTTGCATTCTTTAAGCATGGGCTGCATAGTAAGTGAACTAAACTAAATGTTAAGCACCCTGGCAAACCACTTCGTTCTATTCAATTTCTTTATTTAATCACTTTGTCCGGCTAGAATTTTTAGATTAGATTAAAGGAACACCCTCCCTGGTAACGGCTGAACTAGTTAACCAAATACAAATATTTAGGTAAAATACTTTCATAAAACCCGTCTACTTCCCCCACCAGTAGACTTGTTCAGCTAAAGGAATAATGTAATGTTCCACTTTAGTAAATAAAGACTTAAAAAAACACTACCCCATCTGTGTAGTTACCGGTTACCTGACATTCTACACTTAAAATAACCCATCTATTCCCCATAATTGTTCGATATAACTTACCTCTCACCCGCTTGTCGAGTACACAGCAGTATATATCCTCCTCCATCACTCACCGCGTGGATACTATTTCACTCTGGCCGGAAATTGCCTCAAATCACCTACGTTGTCCATAAACATATATAGAAGAGCAACTGACCGTAACACCCGTGTGCATGGCGATCATCACATAACGTGGGAACATTAGCAGTACTGCTGTCAAAACATAGATGGCGCCAGGACAAACGGTACTTCCTATGGACTCGCCGAGTTATGCGTAGGGAATTGAGCTTCAGCTGTTTGGTCCCGCCCCTCAGCTGTATTCACCTAGTTGTACTCACCTAATTTGTGCTTGCAGGGGTTGAGCTTTGGTTCTTTGGTCCCGACTCTCAACCGTCAATCAACAGGTGTACAGGTTCCTGAGCCTATTGGGCTCTATCACATCTACATTTGAAATTGTGTATGGAGTCAGCCTCCACCACATCACTGCTTAATACATTCCATTTGTTAACTACTCTGACACTGAAAAAATTCTTTCTAATATCTCTGTGGCTCATTTGGGTACTAAGTTCCCCTTGTTCGTGTTCCACCCGTGTTAAAGAGCTGTCTTTGTAACTATCAAAATGCATATATCTTTGCTTTCACTTCAGTTATATTTATGACAAGGGATTTAAAATTTGCCTATATTTCTGCTTCTCTGATGACATTAACAACTTTCGTTTATTACAGTATCTACATAAAATTAACATTTATCTTCATTAGGTTGTAGTTCTCATCAATAGGGAGAGCGTCGGTAAAAAAAAAATTGTTTAAATAAAATATCTTTCCTGTTTAATATGCCCGAAACGCTATGCGTACTAGTGGCTTTAGGTATTGTATGTACTAGCTCTATCTATAAATGCTTTGTAAATCGACATTTATGCTGAATAAAGATGTCACTTCTGAAGCAAGGGGGATTTTTCTGGCGGGGGAGAAAGAAACAGTTGCGCAGCGCGCCCCGCGCAGATGCGCGGGAAGTCTGGGGCCATATAAATTCCGAGGCAGAGACGGGGCTCTCCCTCACTTCCGCCCGACCGCCGCAGTACTCGAAACTCCCACCCGCCTCCCCTTCATGCAAGTGGCAGTTCCCAGTCATGCTTTGTGCCAGTGTCCCGATTGTCTCCCCACCGCAAGTGGGGAGGGGGTGCAGCGCCGGTCCCCAAGTGTCCCGCTGTCCGCAGCTAATCCTTTGCCCAGTCTAGGTGCTAGTAAGAGTCTTGGAAACACTTCTTATTCCTTGGCGGCCGGCCTCACGCCCTGGGAAAAACTTCTCCCATTTGTCATATCAGTTTTCCCGTCACTAGGTATTTTCTGCCCGCCTGTTAATTCTAGGATTTCCCATTATGTCTTGGCCGGGTACATTACTTGGTAGGGCTACCGTTAAGTGGCCTTAATTCTCTATACCTTTAGGTTTCTGCAGAATTAGTTTCAATGTCCTATAGGCTAAGGTGTCCTGACTACGGTTGTACCTTAAGTTAAATCTAGTCCTTTCACTTGGAATTGTTACTGTTAATTCTTACTTTATATATTTACTTTATATATTCTAGATATACGTTATTATTTACTTATATATTTACATGTTCAATATTAAGTTTAATATAATATCAACTTTGTCCTCAGTCTATAATGGAAACCGTGTTTAATATAGACTTTATATAATTACTACTTTATATTTTAACTTATATATTTACATGTTCTGCAGAATACTTAATTTACTAATAAAAAATTTAAGCCCATTTTAATATACACGTTATATTTTCCCCCTGGTCAGAATATATCTTTCCTCTCTCAATAATATGCTTTGAAACGCTATGCGTAAACCGTGCTTAAGGTAATTGTATGTACTAGCTCTAAATTTAAATCTTTATATATTACATGTTCTGCAGAATTTAATCGACAATAAACTTTATGCCCCACTTGCCTATCTTTCTCCCCCTGGTAAAATGAACTTTACTTTACTAATATCTAATCTCTGTGACTAAAACGTAAGAACGACTTTATCTATGGCTTTTTGATAACATATACAATTATACAGCTTTATTAGTGAATCTCTATTAATTAAACAATATATCAGAGAGTGTGTAAGGTTCGGTGTTCCATGTGCGAAGAGACATGGGAGATTTTACATCAGTACAGTCAATGTTTTAAGTAGCGAACGCATACTAACGAATAACGATTAGAATAGACCAACACTATTGTTCTATGAAGTCGATTTAACTTCCAGACATGTATTTTTCAATAAGTCTTAAATATTTTCTGGCTAGTTATGTTAGATATTATTAGAAATACGTATTCTACTTGTTAATATAATAAACTAAATTTGCGATCATTTAAGGAGAGAAGTGCGACGACTGGATCACTGTGTACAGAAGGTTGATATGCCAACAAACACTTTCCAGACAACAATACATCTTGGATAAGTCGCTCCACAACATTGACACCTGGACCGTTGACTTCCTATGAGGCCACATATTTACTTATTTCATAATGGAAGTATATTATTTTATAGTAAATATGTTTTCTCGTGTTCTGCATTAAGCACCAACATTATAGTGAATAAATATACCATATTTCTTCATTATTTAAGTAATGCTAGGAGGCTTTGAGTAGCTTTGGGTCATTAGGTGAACAGAATCTCCAATAGATGGGGCGAGAGTCGCGCTATCTCTCGCCCGAGCGAGAGTCGAAACTTATTTTAGAATTGATATATCTTTGTCCTCCAACAAGATATATTTCCTTTGGTGCACTCACAATAACGAGCATATCTGTCTTTCTGAAGGCATATAATATTTTAGGCTTTATAAGCGTATCTTTGTTAATTACACACTATATTGGCAAGTGCATTCCCTGACCGACAAGCTACTGAATGCCACTATAAAAACGTATGTATCTTCACTTGAGCTTTATATATGTCTATGTTAAAGTATTTAAAATGAAGCTTATATTTCTATCTTTCTTGAGACATATAAAACATATGTGTTTATTAATGAATTTACGTGAAATAAGCATTGTTCTGAGAGAGTGGCTCTGTCGATCAGTCTGTGCGGGGTCGGAGCTCGGCGATTATTAAAACACAGGTATCTTCATTAAAACTATATATATATCTATGGTAAAGTATTTAAAATGAAGCTTATATTTCTATCTTTCTCAACACATATAAAAACATTTGCGTTTATTAACGAATTTACGTGAAATAAGCATTGTTCTGAGAGAGTTACTCCGTTGCTCGATCTGTCTGGGATCGGAGCTCGCCGATTAGAAAAATACACGTATCTTCGCTTTAAATACAAATATGCCCATGGTAAGGCATTTAAAATGAAGATTATGTTTCTATCTTTCTTGAGACGTATAAAAATCTTACGTTTATTAACGATTCTGCGTGAAATAAGCATTGTTCTGAGATGAATATTGCGGATTTCAGGCTCTACAACCGATGAAAAATGCAACTTTTATACAACTACAAATATCTTTAGTTTTACTTTAAATTTTGTCCTGAAAGAGTTTTCATATATAGATCCAGTTTCTGCCGTTCTTCTGACATAAAAAGACCTTTGGTTTAATAAGTTAAGATGTTTTCAACAATATTACTAGGGCGTTCACCGATTCTAACATGGGCGACCCTTTTGGAAACGCAACACATGGGTTGACCTGATTGATATATGGGTCAGATTCCATTAAGGTTCGGAACACTTACACTATACATTGTCTGTAAACAAACACTTACGATGGGCTTTCGCCATGACTGAAATTAATGACTTGTATAAACAATATTGTAAAAAATACAATATTGAGGAGCAAGAATGTGTCAGAGAAGCTTTAGCGCAGTGAGTAGTTAAACCCAGCTTCAGTACTTATTATTTGAGGACTGAACTGATAACAAAAATGCTTAGGCTAGACTAGGCTAATTTCTGAAATAATAATAATAAATAATAATAATAATAAGTAATTGTAATGTCTTATCACAGCCATAATAACACAGGATAAAAACTCACACTTATGTATTTGTGAAATTTATATAAAGAATTACAAATTAATGAATTAATTCGGGCGTCCTGCCCGAAACGCTGCGCGTACTAGTGGCTTTACAAGATTGTAAATACTATGCTATGTATTCTCTCAAACCCAATGTACCTTCTTGTATATAAATAAATAAATTACACAAAGTCTTTCGTACTCTCCTGTGCTTTGTCAAGGTCTGAGTATATGGTTTAGGACGAGACTTACATCTCAATGACTACTAGTCAATTAGTCATTAGTCGTTGGGATGCAAGTCTCATCTTAACCACATACTCAGACCTTGACAAAGCACTTGGGAGAGTGCGAAAGACTTGTGTAATTCTGTACATCAATTTCACAAACACATTATTATTATTTTGTAATAAAACTAATACTTATCATAATAATTTATCCATATTAAATACTGTATATACATTTGATGATACAGTGGAGAATTTGTAAGTAAAAAGTGTACATTACATGATGCCACTAATATGCAGATTGGTAAAGGTATTCGCAAGGTCACTACCGCACTATTTAAAGACAAGCTTATGAATGGGACGTTGCACTGTACAGACACAGGATTACTTAATAATGTAGGTTGTCGATTCTGCCCCAAAATTGCAGTGGTGTAGCACAGTAGGCTGACAACTAAAGGTTTCTGTTTTCAATTCCCAGGTAAAGTGAGAAGGTTTCGCATATTTCCTGACGTCTGATGAGACCTCTGATTGTCTGGCTGGGAATATGTCAACTTGTGGGTTGCATCCTTGGGAAAGTCAGTCATTAACAAGGGGAGCCTTAATATGCCTAAAAGCCTATTTGTCCTGATAATAGAAAACCACACAAAAATTGGGCAGTAATTTTGATTCTCAGTTCACCAGCAACTTTGTTTTCTTTCCCAGGACTAATGCACCCTGTTACATTAGGTTGGGCTTTGTAGGTTAGGTTATGTTACAGTGTTAATTGGCTAAATAATTTTACATCTTAGATATCAATTTGTTGTCTATGATTATAATCACAAAAGTACCTTTATGAAAAAAACCTATAGTACAGTACTAAACTGTTTGTTAGGTCTAGAAACGATGCCAATAGTGATTTTATTATAATGATCAATGGAGCAAATCACTGATTATACATTAAAAATTAATATTCACAAATTTAACAACATGAGTTGTGGGGTATTATATATTTGGCCTGCAGATTTGCTTGCAGAAGCTCCACTGATGTGTGGGGAAATATAAGCATACCCGAGCACCTTAGGTCATCGTGTATCCTACAATAAGTTTCTAGAATGGGCATTCTGTACTGGTTGGGCAATTTAGGTTACCGTAAATAATCTAGTCAGCCATTGCATAGCAGACTGGGGCATGACTGATGAAGTGTAGACAGTCATAATACTGTACTTAGATTTCTTGAGGGAAGGAAAGCTCCATCAGTTATACATATCTGGTATAGTTAAACCTAAAAACCTAAAATAACATGTGAACTATTTGAGTCAGAGTCAGCTGCCTTGTTCTAACTTGTGACTTCTTAGATAGTAAATTGATCGAAGGAAAATGGACTATACTCATAGTCAACAAAATACAGTACTGTTTAGTACAGGTATAGTGTCTATTATGCAGTAGTAGCTCACTAGCCCCTTGACAGACTTCCTTAATAACTAGGAAGAAGTCAACATTCCTTTCATTTCAACAGGGTATTAAAAGTATCAACACAGGACAGAACACGAAACAATGGGTATAAATTGGATAAGTTTAGATTTAGGAAAGACTTGGGTAAATACTGGTTCAGTAACAGGGTTGTTGATTTGTGGAACCAATTGCCGCGTAACATTGTGGAGGTGGGGTCCCTCGATTGTTTCAAGCACGGGTTGGACAAGTATATGAGTGGGATTGGGTGGTTATAGAATAGGAGCTGCCTCGTATGGGCCAATAGGCCTTCTGCAGTTACCTTTGTTCTTATGTTCTTATGTTATGTTCCCCACCTGTAATCATTACATCACTTGTATTCCTTGCACCATTCTGCTCATATCCCGAGAGATACCATCTTGTAGTCACATTTCATGATAATTTTAAGTTAGTTACTCTAGCCAAGTGTTTTGAACCTTTTATTACATAAGTGATTAGTTTTAAGATATTTATAGTTTTAAGACATTTCTTCAAATAAGCCATCTTTAAAAATTTAGAAATATGTACAGTATTAGAAATAAAGGTTTATTCTAATTACGGAATGTTAGTGAAATAATTTAGTTAATTAAAGTTTCAATAAGGCTAGATAAATACTAGATAACTAGATAACTCAGTCAATCTCAGTTAACTCAGAATACTGAGTTTTCTAGTATTGATAAGTTATCTAGTTTTTCAGCAACACTACTTTTAAATTCAAGTATTTTTTAAGACATTTCTTTTGCAAGATTGAAATAAGTTTAATATAATGTATTAGATTTCTCTGCTAGTTTTCTTAAGGTTAATTCTCATTTCATGATTTTGTCTAATTTCCAGAGGTGGCACTTTAGATCTCTCCAACCAAACACTTGATGTTGGCACATGTGCTGTATTAGGCAAGATTTTGCAGATATCAAATGTAATCAGCAAGGTTGGTGTGTTAAGTAATCCTTTATTGGTTTAGAATAGTTCAAGTGCTTAATGATAGTTTCATTGATATATATATTCCTCTTTGTTTGCTTTAAGGCTTATCCCAAAATGCCATGCTTTTTAATGACTATCAGAATGTGTCAACAACAGAATGTTAATATTAAACATTTTCTGTGTTTAATATTATATTCTTCCATGTTACTCTTGTGTATTATGTAGTACTCTATCACAAGATGACCAGAATTTATTGTAATTCTTTTTTCATGTTCATATTTAATACAGTTACATTAACATCCTTAAACATATTGAAAGTACAGTGCTCTGATTTCTTAACTCACAAGCGGGGATCCCAGATTTGATTCTTTGGTGGGACAGAAATGGTTGGGTATGTTTCCTTTCACCTAATGTCTCAGTTCACCTAGCAGTAAATATGTACCCAAGAGCTAGGCAACTGTTGTGGGGTTGCATCCTGGGGAAGGTCAGTAGTTTGACTAGTAGTTTGACCTTGATACAAGCCTAAAGTGTATGTATATGTGTGTGTATATATGTGTGTATACACACACATACACACACACAAGGTTCCCATCCATGACAATAAGAATTATTTACATATCAATATTGACAGGCCACCTGATGTTGGAGTCATCATCTGATATCCTCAGAACTATAATGCAATGTCAGGTCGCCCACCAACACTGGATTACTGTAGATAAATATTAAAAACACCTTTTAAAGATATCCACCTTAAATTGGTAGCATAGTAATACTTATAAGTCACTAATATGAAATATTATTAATCAGGTACTGTTCATTTGTTAAAATTTGCTCAGTCAACAAACAACAGATACTGCCTTAATCCCTCATAATTAGCATTACAGAGATCTGGGACTGTCAGTTTTCTTTGGCTTGATATGTTCCCAATTTGCGAACCTGTTCATTTTTAGATAGCTTTACATGCACAAATATAGAACAATATATATTTGAAGAATATTTGGCTGGTAACTTTACCCTTTGATATTATTTTTCTTATTCACTTTAATTGCTGCTCTTTCATTGCTAGAGATATCCCCAATCTGTAGTATTACTTTTTATAGTGTGTAATCTTATACCGTTTTTTTAGGCTTACATTTCATACCACTTAGAAAACGAGTTAAATGTTTTGAGCAAATTACATAAGAATATTTTGTAATTACAGGCCAGTTTTGGAGACTGCCTATTAAAAGAAGATGGCATTAAGTCAATTCTTCTAGGACTTTGTGGCAATTCCTCTGTGAAGACGCTCTCACTGAAAGGAAACAGCATCCAGGGTAGCAGCATTCATGCCTTGGCTAAAATGTTAAGGCATAATATCACTGTTATCAGGTATAATATAACTTATCAGGTATCATAGGTTTGTTTTTGTATAAATAGATAAATTTGGTAGTAATGCAAACGTAAGACTTTTCACCACAGCGGAAGAGAGGGCATGACAACGTTGAAAAAAAATGTATCTTTTTAATTTTTTATGTATCATTTTAAATTGAATTTTTTTTGGTGTAGTCCCATTTGTTCCCTGAAGCTGTCTCATTGATATTACTCTCCACTACTGGGTCACATCGGTCACAGGAGTTCTGATTGGCCTACCGAGGACCAGAGCCAGAGTCTGGCTCCTCCCCTTGCCTCTCAATGAACAGGAGGCGAGTGACAATCCACCACCTCACCAGGAAGGCATCCACAAAGTCAGTGAAGCTTTACAGATAACTGCAAGGTTCACAGAAAACAAAGCATTGAAACTGCCAAACTACTCTACAAACTATTCAGATGAAAGAAATTGGTTCACTCTAAACTAGCTCAAACCTATTAGCAACAATAGCCGCCACTGGGTGGCCTGGGACCCGGCCCCACAGCATCTCCCATGGATCAGTTTCGTCACTGATGTGGTTGTATCAACAACCTGTAGTGCTACCGGGGTTGTCAGCTTTTGCAGCAAGCCCTTCTGATTTTCATCTAAACACTGGCCATCCTTAAGCCTTTGTCCTGCAGGAGGACCTCTTTCTCTAGCTAGCCAGCCTGCAGTCAACCCTCGTGCCCATGATGTTAGGAAGTATGCTGCTCTTGCGACTGTATTTTGGAATATGTCGTGGGTCGACATTTGGGCACTGGGGTTTTGGAGGTCGAGCAGGGTCCTGGTTGCCAGGTATCTTTGGGACATTCCGGGCCCTATCCGGCCTTGCATTGCTTTGGGGCACCTGTTGCGGCTGTCTGTTTCTTCCTCGTCTTGAGACCTGGGGTGGTGCCACCTCCCAGATAAGCCCCTGTTTTCCTTATCTTTGGGTAGTTAGCTTCTGGAAGCCGACGGGGCTCCTTACAGAAAACCGGTGTTGAATGTAATGAAATGCCATTTTCTGGGGGAGCCACAGAGACTCCCTGACACTCCACCCTCTGTCTGGTTGGCGGTTTTTCCATCGTTCAAGAACTTAAGTGGTGGGCTGCCGGCTTATTTGAGCCGGTTCTCCCTCCTCCCTTCTGTGTAGCACTAATGAACAAGAGTGCTAGTTGCATGAACGGTTGCTGGTTTGCTTTCTTTCAGAGGGAGTTTCTTTGCTCTTTCAGGATGTAGGAAGCAATTTTTACCAAACTGTCTCTTGTTTTGTTTTGCATCTCTCTTTCTTGGTGCCTTCCCTGGTCGATGGCAAAAGATGACATACTGTACTTTAAATGTAAAGTGCTCATAGGCCATTGCTCCCTGCGCCTCTCTGAGGGGACCAGGTTCTGGCTCGTGGTTCCCGGTAGGCAAAGGTATCCTGTGACTGATAACCCCAAACTAATAAAGCACTATATCAGTTTGGATAGCTTCAGGGAGCTGATGGGGCTCCCCACAGAAATAGTGATACAGTATTGGAAAAGGCAATTTTTTCTCAGTAATGTAAAGAAATATGTGCATTTCCTATCTTCTTAATTTTCTTTCTCTATAAACAAAGCTGCTTTACAAAACTGAATTACAGTACTAATCATTTTAGACTCTCTTTGGAGTGGAACAACTTGGGTCTGTGCTCAGAGAGTTTTACATCTTTCTGTGAGGCCCTTGGAAGTAATTCAGCCTTGCAGTACCTTGATCTACGAAGTAACCAGCTGGGAGTAGATTGTGGAACGCATTTAGCTCGAGCTTTAGCAAGAAACTGCAGTTTAACATCTCTTGGTGAGTAGTGTCAACTGTAAATGATACGAGTTGTAAATTATTAATTTCCGAGCTAACCTACTCGGTTGCTTACTTAAACAATGTTCAGCTTTAACAAGGACGCAACGAAACAAGAGCCAGGCTATATTGAAAGTCACTACTCAACATAGTGAGGATCCTTTCAAACTTAATTGACACTATCTCAGCCACATCAAATAGCCTGGTTGATCAGACTGCCACCAGGAAGCCTGGTCAGAGACTGAGCCGCAGGGATGTTGATCCTTGGAATCATCGACAAGTAATTATTATGTTAAAGTGATGACTTTAAAGCCCTACATATTGCTTTGGGACATTGTAAATTGCACTTCATACTGAAATAGAATTTCCCTTTGCTTTGGGATAGGCCAACTGAGAAGTGAATTTTGGAGAATCAGAATTCATCCAGTAATATCCAGTACTCTAGCAACAAAGCCCATTCGTGCTACTTGCTAACTATGATATACAGTTTTCTGTACTGTATACATGGACCCATTGCACACTGGTCTGCATTGTTAATTCACAACCAAGGGTTCCAAGTTTGATTTCATGAAAGGCCAGAGAAGGTTGGGCATGTTTCATTTCACCTGATGCAGCTGTTCATGTAGCAGTAAATAGGTACCCAGGAGTTAAACAATTGTTGCAGGGTGCATCCTTGGGAAGGACAGTAGTTTACCTAGCGGGACCTTGATAAAGCTAAGAACAGGCTTCTTGTTCCCAACAATGGGAAACCATATGTGCATGCAGGAGTACATGCACATATCATTGAATTAAATTGTTTTCATTTTACATATTTCCTAATAGTTTCTTGAACAGTTTTATTAATCTTATTATATATTTAACCTGTTGGCTTTAAGAAATATTTATGTAATGCTAAGTTGAAGTTAAATGAAACAGATGTAATGCACGAGTGAAGAGGAGAAATCCATTCACTATATTTGAAACATGTATTTTGGGTGGGCCCATAGCTCCATTCCTGCACATTACCCTTTCTTCTCATGGAGTTGGAAGTGGCTTATGAATGAGCTAGCTGGCTAACTTGGACCCTGAATTGTCTGAGCTGCCATCTGGTGGCAGGGGAGTGTGTCTAAGAAATGATCTCAGTGGAAACAATTATTATGTGTCATTAGGATTACAAATTTATCAAAGCAATTGCTTGATTTTTAGTGCTTTGAATTTCGGTGAGCCTTTTTTCCAAGTTCTGTAGTTATTTCTGATTCCATTATCTTTTTCACCTCTTCGAATGGGCCAGACTCTGGTCTCAGAGCTTGTAAATCATCGAATCCTGGTGATATTTCCCAAGGCTTGGTTGCTTCTAGGTTGTAGCATTGGGAGGGGGCCCATCCAAGAAAAACAGATTAACTACATTTGCGAAGAGAATGGAAACAGATGTACTGTATTGCATGAGAAAAGATAAAATCTGAAGGTGTATGAAATTAGAGGGCTTGTACAGAATGTAAATACTGTCAGGTGATGATGAGATGACTAATATAAAGTATATGGTGAAATTATTTTCTTGTCATTTCAGACTTAAGATGGAACAATATAGGGAGAACTGGTGGAAAGGCCTTGTTAGAAAGCTTACACCACAACAGAACTCTCTCTAAAGTAGACTTGGTAGGAAATGGAATACCAAATGAAGATATTTCAGCCATTGGTATGTATCAATAATTTGTTTGCTCCTAGAATCATTGAGTTAAAGCCAGTTACCCTTGATGCCAAATTAAAAAGAAAGAAAATGGATATTACTATTTGGGCTTGTGCTCCTCTGAGATCCAGTGTATTAGTATCCTCATTGTAATGTACAGAGATCTGCCTTTTCAACTCTAAATCAAGAATTCCGGGTTCTAACCCGATACCTTTGTTTACCTAGCAGTAAATAGGTACCCAGGAGTTAGGAACTGTTGTGGGTTGCATCTTGGGGATGGTTAGTAGTTGGCCTCATTAATTCTAAGTACTGTACAGGCTTCCTGTCTCTTAACTGTCTCTTAACAGGAATTATAATAAATTATGAACCTATTTAATCATACATAGTTTGGCTCATGGCTAAGGGAACCTTGACAAGTAATTACTCTTCTTGTTAAAGCATATCTTTGCCCAAAATACTGAAGTGTAAGTAGAAATATATGGAATAACCGTTTTACTTTGAAATAACATTAAAAAACTGAAAATCTCCTCTTTTCAGTAACATGTCAGGATTTTGTTATATGCTCCACTCTTGAACCTATGTTGGCATGTATTCTCAGATAAATACTCTATCCATAACAGGGTATGTGTGCCAAATATACCAGCACTTTTAAAACTTTATGATAATATATACAGTATAGGGAAGATGAGGTACAAGTGATATGTAGCAGGTTGCATTGTGAGTTAGAGGTTACTCAAGTTGCTCCTCAAGGAGTTTGATATGACCTTACATGACCCCATGACCTAGGGAAAGTAATAAGCTTACCTGGGTACGAGACGTCATTTCCTGGCTGCATTCTGCCTCTGTTGGGTCTCTATAGTACACAAATGTAGTATTTTGTAGCAAAGTAAAGAAAGAAAACAATGCATATAGTACCAATGATTCACATTGGCAGGAAAATATGAGTAGGTTTGAACAGTGAATATTATGCAAATACTGTATTGGCAATTAATTTACCATATACTGTAGGTTTGAACTGCATTAGTTATAACCCACAGTAATCCAGGAATGGAGTCTAATACTAGAATGATTTACATTAGTTTGTCTTTTGTCTAAAAATCTTAAAAATATGTACTGTACATGACGTTAGTAAAAATTTTTTCTCAATCAGAAATGCAGCTAAGTCAGAATAGCAGGTCAGCCATTATAACAAACGAGTACACAAGTCGGACTGATATCCTAAAGCAACAGTTGGAAGATCGTGAGCGTTATTCGGCACAGCAAATTGAATATTTGGAACGTTCCTTAGCACAGACAGATTTAACATTAAATAAAACTGTTAAGTAAGTAAATTTAGAGTTGGTATTCTCCTTCAAATAATTATTTTTATTATTACAGTATTATCTTTGTTGTAAGTATACTAGAATAATAGAAAGTGGCTATATATGAGAAAATTTGGAGGATTTTCAGAATGATGTTTGCTCAGGCAATTATTAGTTCAATTAATTACTTCAAAGCTAGTCAAAATTTAATTATTTTCATGAAAGCTGCAAAATACAGGCTATAGTTATATAGGAATACAATATGTTTTCTCAACATACTGTATTCAACAACCTTTATTCAATTCAAGAATCTTGCTCTTAAAATTCTACTGGACAATTTGAGTTAGTTAATTCAAGAAGCCTGAATCCAGAAAGTGATTGGTTGTCTACAGTTACATTAACTTTCAATTCACCTCACACAGAGCAAACCAATTTTTCCATTACTCTTATGAACATGCATTCTTTCTGATGTAGTTAAATATTTATAAAACTTAATGTTATATTACTGTTGGCAAATGCAGGGAAAGTATGTTCCAAACTGGAAAATTGGAAGAACAGTTACGGTCAAAATCTGTGGAACTGGAGGCTTTAGAGGCAAAATATGAATTAGTTAATTCTGCTCTTCGCCTGAACCAAGAGCGAGTTACAACATTGGAAGCCAGGAATAATACTTTAGAAGAGGAATTGCGTAAAAGTCAGGAAGCAGCACTGCTGCAGAATAAAAATGACAAAGAGGTGAGTATTTTTTCATATACAACTCTTATGTAACATTATGTCCTTAAAGCTATTTTCAACCAATCATTAAAAAAAAAAAAAACCCACTTGGGATCGTGCAGGGATACAATAACCTCACTGCCCACCACTAAATAATGCAAACAGTTTCACAGTCCCTGCATTAAAATGGTTGGGAGATTACACTGGGACTCATCTCCTTGACTAAAGACAGCCTTGGATCTGTAATATTTCACATAGTACACTATGTGAAAAATAAGAGGTATAAATGAAGAATGAGAGATGTTAAAAGCACTACAAGTTTTCAAAAATTTCAAGCTTGATAAATACACCCTCCAAAAATCAGACCTTCCTGTAGCAGGTTCCATAAAAACAGCAGACAAATTAGTTCACCATGGGCCCAGCTCACCATATAAGCTTCACGAAGCAGTTACGCTAGTACTTATAAATGTGTACATCTTTCCTCAATCTTTGACGACTTTTGTTACATTTATTAAACAGTTTACAAGCATGAAAACTTCCTAATCAACTGTTGCTATTGTTATAAACAGCCTCCTGGTGCTTCGGAGCTCATTAACCGTTTAATAGTTGTAAACAAAGCCGCCAAAGATTGAGAAAAGATGTCCAGGTTTGTAAGTGCTTGTGTAACTGCTTTGTGAATCTAGCCCCAGAAGGTCCTTTAGTGAGGTGAGGACTGCTTTTCATCACTATTCAGACCCGTCGTTCGAGATGTGCTAATAGGACAGCCCTTCACTACTCCCCTTCGTTGAGCCCCTCGAAACTGCCACATGATGTAATACCTGTCCCCATTCCTAGCCAAACCACACCTCCCCAACATTGATTGATGATTGATAAAGATTCTAGAATTGATAAAGATATAGAGCCCTAGATTTCCCCTGCAAAATTATATTTTCTAAAACAAAAAAAAAAAAAAAAAAAAAAAATTCCAGAAGGATACACTGTTAAATTCCTATTGTCAGTTCATCATTTAAAGTAATTACCATCAGAATGTATTTTTGTTCCTATTTTTGTTTCAGGTACTGGAGCATGTTAAATCAGAACATAACCAAGAAGTAAGATCGCTACAGAAAACCATCAGCCAGTTGGAGGCGCAGGTCTGTTTATACATACAGTACAGTACTTGGATGTACATTGAACAGTACAGTACAACCTCTATTCAATGAACTACATGGGAGCACCCACAATTTGTTGGTGAGGGATTTGTTGCAACCGGAGATGCCTCCATGATGCATTTCACACCCCATATGGGCTAATTCCATTCACTGTAGCAAAATTTTCATATCAGCCTATGAAAATAATAGATAACTAGCAAATAAATGTCTGCTGTAGCAAGTATATTAAGTAGTAATATACTTGCTCCATATTCTCATTAGCTTATGTTCAAATAATAAGATAGGTTAAATAGAATTGACAGACACATCTCTAAGTGTTCCATATTCCTAGAAGTCCTACACTAATTCTTAGTCCACTAATTATAATTAATATTCCCAACCTGTAAGATGAGGTGGAAGCTTGCAATATAAGCTTCAACAGCACATCAGCAGCATCACGGGAGACATCTCCCGTCACACAGGGTGCAGTCGCACCTCCACAGATCTCCAGTATCAGCTCTTGATGCTGGTAATGGCTCAAAAGGGCCACCACTTACGGGCTATTCATGCCCGTGCCACCTTTTGGGTGGCTTAATCTTCATCAATCATCAATCAATCATCGGCAGCATTATGGGATATTCATGCCTGTGCCACCTCTTGGGTGGCTTAATCTTCATCATTCATCTGCAGCGTCAACCTGTCAGTCTGAACAAATATAATGATTCAGTATAGATGCTCGAGAGATACCACACATTGTCAACATTCACCAGCAACAATGTAACACTCTATGAGTCCAGTACCTACCCTCACAAGACGCTTCAGCCTCGCCTTAGAGCAGACAGATTCCGGCCACATTGAGATTCCACACTCTCATCCGGCATTTAAGCTCTTCGACCTCGCTCGCATTCAGAACGCCACGCTCTACACTCTCACCCCACATCATAGTTCTCTTCCCTTAGCCTTACTCAAGCTCTCTGCCATGCTCCAGACGTCATCTCATCTACTATGACACTTCACTACAATGCCAGCAAACTAACTGCTGTAACCAAGACTATACTAAAAAAATATAAAAAACTACTAAACTCTTTGAGTCTTATCAACCAAAACACATACACAAACTTACATTACGTAATCATATGTTACACTGCAAACAAAATTTAACTATATAGCTTATTAATCACATCCTAGCCTCAAAACTCATTTTTTAAAAGGTAGCAGGGCCATACCTGAGTGAACAAAAAGTTTGCCAACCCAAAATGAAAGCACAACATAAAATTTGATTTGAAATCTCCTCAATAGCTTTCCCAAGGCTCCAACTGTTTCTTGTTATATTGAGTCCATCTACAAAAGTCATCAAAAACGTGATTGGAGCCATATTAAGAAAGTTACCATTCATGTCTTAACATTTTCCATGTTCTATGGGCCAATTTCACTGAATAAAATATAATTTCAACCTGTCATGTGAAGGGCAACAACCAAGAGAACCAGTTTGTACAAAAATTTAACCACATATAGCATATTTCCCCACATACAAGCCTCGCACTCTCATTTTCAAAAGGATCATATTTTACTGAACAAAAACCTCTGCAACTGGAAATAAAAGAAGAACGATAGAATTTGGTTTTAAATATGCTCAGTGGCTTTCCCAAGGCCCCAACTATTTCTTGTAATGTTGCTTTCAATTGTGAACTCGGGCCCAACATTCTAAGCAAATCCACACATCTGTCGCTTCTTGTTTATCAAATTGGGTGTGTGTAAATCCTGCATGGAAATCCTGCATAATTTGAAAAAGCTTGTATGGTTGAATATTGTGAGAGGAATTTACTTATTATTTGTATGTTGTGGATTCTGAACAGAAATAAAAGTCTTGACATTTTTAACGAGTTAAAACTTTTCTCATAAGATCCTTGACAAAAATCTATTTGGGGTGTTGAGAAATGAATATCCTCACATGATTGGGAGAAGCCTATACATTGAACCCAATTTCTTATAATGTAACTACCTAGCTTCCCATTACCTAATAAACCAACCCTGAAAAATAACTATGAATAAATTTGAGTCTTGTTTTACTGTTTCAATGACAGTTTTAGGCATTTGAACATGACCTGTGCAAGCTAATTTAATGTAGAGGTGCTAGTAATATAATCATTGTGAGTAATTGATTTTTCTCTATGAGAAATATTCCTGCAAAATTCAGAGTCAAATACAGCCTGTCCTGTTAAAAATGTCTATCTTATATCTCTATATTATATATCTTATATCTATATTAACAGGTTGCTGAACTGGAATTCAAGTGCAACAATCAGAAAATGCAAATTTTTGACTTTAAGGAGACTATATGTTCATTACAATCAGAAATCAAAGGAATCAGAATAGAATGTGATGGTAAGTATTATAATACAGTATATATTCAGTGGACCCTCAGTCCTCAAATTTAATTGGTTCCAGGTCATTTGATCTGTTTGAACACTAGATAATTTATTCCATGAGGAATAATGTAAATTGGATTAATCTGTTTTAGATCACAACAAATACACATATACAGTAAATAAATGAAATCAATGCAAATTTATTCTCACTACCTGCAGTGTTTATGGCAGGGCAGTTATACCTTGCCAAACAATAACATCTCTCCATTTCTTCCTCACCACCTTCCACATATGCAACTCTCCTAAGGTGGTGAGGAAGAAATGGAGAGATGTTATTGTTTGGCAAGGTATTACTGCCCAGCTATAAACACTATAGGTAATTTAGGCATACTTGTACTAAACTCGGTAGTAAGAACAGACATGAGTGCACCACTTTCGTATTTTGCTACGAGGTCTTTTAATGCAGTCCTTTTATGTATCTTGTAATCTGAAATATATAATATTGTAGGTGTGTGTGTAATAACATTTCATATACTACTTGGCTCATTAGGGATTGAACTTGGACCTGTAAAATATGAGGCTATCACTATAGCAACTAGACAATAATGCTCACAATTAGGAAGGACTCAGAAAGTAGCTTACTGTTATTAAATCTTGAGTTTTGGACTTTCCCTGGTGGTATTTTCTCACAATGAACCACAACTTAAATGTAACAAAATATTCTTTACTAGTTAGTTATGTAATAAGAGCCTATGTGTAACTCACAGGAAAGAGGAGCAGTGTAATGTCAGGAATGCAAACTGCATTATAAAAGAGTAGTTAGGGAGACATGTTTCTGTCTTTACTAACTACTGTAGTTCATTAGCCTAAAATTTGACATATTCCTTCAGATAGAGCTTGTCTATTCTGTGTCACAGGACAGTGTATACACAATCCTGTGAATTTTTGCCTTTTTACTAAAATATTCAACAAGTATAAAATTAATTTCTTCAACATTTAAAACAAAATTTAGCCTTTATAAATTATTGTGTAAACTGAGTAAATTTCATTTATGTAACCTATAACTGAAATTCTGTAATGTTTAAATATAACCTGTGGAATATACTCAAATATAGTTCAGTTCATTAATCTCTAATCAGAAATGATGGCTGCAGAGGCTGGAAAGTACAAAGAATCTTTGAGGAATGTGGATCTTCAGTACAATGCCGAAATACAACGAATGAAAAAAGACCACCAGCAAATGGAGGTCTGTTTACATATCTGCTACAGTAGTCGCAGTATTCAAAAACTTTGTGGGTTAACTGAGAATAACATATGTGTTGGTTGGGTTATTTATTTTCAGCCATGTTATTGTAACTATTCTTGGCATAAGCTGCATATACAGTATTTGACAATTTAAATGCAATACAGTATACAAATATTTTATGTATCTGCATGCTTTAAATTTTTTTTAATTTATATATGTGTATGCTTTTAGCCTCTAAAATTACTGCTACAAAAAACTGTTATACATTGAGAAATTCCATTAACAGACAGAGATGAGAGAAAAGTGTTTAAATTCTGAAACTTTGAGAGGTGAAGTACAAGCAGAAGCTGCAGCCCTGAGACTCCAGATTTCAACAGAAAGAAGTTCAAATCAAGCTCAGTTACTGTCCCTTAAACAGCAGTTAAAGGCTGAACAGGTAAGTGACTGCCAATGTTTTCATTTGTCATTATAATAGTTTTTTATTATTTTTCTATGCCATTAACATTCAGTTATCGTTTAAAGTAAGATGCACTATGTCCTGTGGACTAATATCAAAACAGTCTCGCAGGTAATTTTTTCCAGTTGATACACGAGTCTGATCCAACAGTACGAGCGCCCTGGCCTTCAGTGATGAATGCCCTGCCCAGCCAGTATGAGTGCCTTGGCCTACTGGGATGTGTGCCACATTCTTTCCCAGCACTTTACAGAATTATGACTCTGCATGTACATTTAAGGGGGTCCTTGTAGCACCAGTTCCTGAGTGTCATCTTGCCAGGCTGTTCATGAATCATGTCTATGATAGCAAATTCTTATCATCATTGATATCAAATTCTTATCAGGGAGCATCTGAATGTTACTATTCTGAAAGGTGCTTTTTCATATTAATTCTGTCTTAATGCTCACTGATTACCTATAATCTAATTCATATGATCTATTAACAATATGATATAGCTTTTATGATTAGTTTGTCTTCATTTTCACGGATGAAACAAAGTTATCCTATATACATTTCTAAACAGAAGCTTCAGTTCAGTTTGTTAGTCTTCTAATTCTTTAAGACATTGTTTTTTTTATCACAGAATAGCTTCTTTGCTCTTATAATAAAGAGAAAATAAAGGATTGGTCTATTAATGCTCAATAAATATTTTCAATTATATTTAGAGTTATGTATTTTATTTATATATAGTGATTTCTAGGCTACAGTGGTTCGAGGAATGGAGGAGCAATTGCATGCCATGGAAGACAGTCGTAATGACGGAGAGGAGAGACTGAGAGTACAAATAGCATCTAATTCAACACTCTCAGCTGCCAATGCCAAGCTCAGTGCTCAGTTGCATGCACTCAGAAATGATATTGCTGAACTTAATGTTGTGAGTTATTAATGATGTGGAGTACTGATTTGGAATAACTTGTATTTACAGTCTGCAGATGATGAGTCACAATAACGTGGCTGAAATATGTTGACCAGACCACACACTAGAAAGTGAAGGGACGACGACGTTTCGGTCCGTCCTGGACCATTCTGAAGTCGATTCTGTGTCACAGGACAGTGTATACACAGTCCTGTGAAATATTTGCCTTACAATTGAATTGACAATGGTCCAGGATGGACCGAAACGTCATCGTCCCTTCACTTTCTAGTGTGTGGTCTGGTCAACATATTTACAAGCTGTTTGCATTCTTGGTGCACCAAAAAAATGTTCAAAATGCAAATTTTGTTTCTTGTTTAGATAATAACATGTCATTCCCTTACTAGCTCTGAGATTCTTGATATAGTTTTACACTTAATCCCTCTAAAATAAAAATGGTGTTTTATCATTGACAGAAACTGGAAGACAAGGAAGTGGAAGTAAGGGCAGCTGAGAAGCGAGTGAGAGACGAGTTTGCAGGTCAGCTTATTGAACTTCAACAAGAATGTGAAAAAACTTCTAAACTCAACAATGTTATTTTAGATCTTAAAAGGTAAGAAGGATTTTTTAGTACGTGTTTGATCATTAATTGCATGAATTCTCTCTTTGGTAATATTTATACTGAAAAGTACCTGTACTGTATTTATTTTTCAAAGTCTTTAAAGTTTCTTGATTCTTGAATTTTTTTTAGACACTAAAGTTTGCTCTAATGATTTTACTTACATTTCAGAACTATATCAGAACTGGAGCACGAGTCTAATGTCCATAAACGAGATGTGAGAATGAGAGAGGATGAACTTCAGAAACTGCGGGAAGATGAAGCTCGTAGAATAGGAATGCTTCACTCAGCTTTTTTGTCATACTTCAATACATCTTTAGGATCTCCCACTAACCCACGTTGACATAGAAGTTTTTTTTTTATAGTGTACTATATAATATATATCTTTGTAAATTTTGATATATTAAATACTGAAATATTTAAAATATTTTATTTAATAAAACTATGATCTGTATATATTTAACTCAACAGAGCATAAAATCTGTTGGCTATTATGTTAATTTTGTCATGTAACAATAGCTTTTAAATAAGGATCTTGATCTTGAGAGAACATAACAATTTATTGGCCTAATCTCAGCAGCTTCCCAAGCTTAAACACTGGCATGTTATCAGAACAAGGGACTTTATCATATTTCACATGTAGCTATGGACAACTGCTGGAGTATGGTTTTTCTTGTTATGCATGATATATGTACGATTGTGTGATGATATAGTGAATGGATGATATATATGTTTCTTTGTAATATGTATAACCTTTCTTCACTACATTATTTGCCATTTTCTCTGGGCTGATATCTCCCCACCCATGAGAGTGAGAAATGCTAAGGAATTCACAGTCCTATACTATAATTTTTAAGCAATGGTCAACCAGTGGTTATGCATATTGTTATTCCCTCTAAAGACAAGTGTTTCTTAAAGTACTGTACTGTACCCAAATCACCATCAGCTGGTCTGCATTGTAGACAACATATGTATATGTAGAGGTGCTGTGAAATTCTTGCACTGCCAATTTTATAACTTGCAGGAGATATTACTACTATTACAGTGCTACAGTAAATATAGCTTTTTTACATTTTTAAAGTCAATACAATTGTATATATGTGTGGACTTACACGAGTGTGACCTGCAAAGTACTATATTGATATTTATTACAGAATTTATTTTATTTTAATGGCTTATATTGCCTCTTATATTGATTATTCCGTTACATGAGCTAGGTTCAATACTTTCTCTTTACAAGGATATGGTTATGTTTCTAGCATTAATGATTTTTATGTAGACATCTTTATTCAGATAAAAAAACCTAAAAGTTTGTATTGTTAGCATTCTATACACCAACATCCACTTAATTTGTAAAAAGTATGCAGATGTACAAGGAATTGGGGTTATTCATTTAAAAGAAGTTATGTAAGGGGACTGGATTTTCTGTGGTCTGATTATACGAGGGGACTGGATTTTCTGGGGAATGTGGCTATACAATACAGCTGTACAGTTGTAATCCCTTGCACTGGGTTATATGAAAGACCAGGGTTACAAGATTCTACTCCCTTAACCATTTGATCACCAAATGCAAACTTGTTGTTGACATCATGTGAAGTCCTAGGGAGTATAGTGTAAACCAGTATTAGATTAATAGCAGGTTTTCAGCAAATAATGGTCTATAATACAGTATTCAAAACATTATACAACACCTTTAAGATATCACATTTAAAATTTAGATCAAGAGGTGGTGTTCAGCTGAAGCTTAAAAGAATGCAAGCACAGTTTGGAAAGTGTACAGCAAGACATGTAATGGATATGTAAGGCAGGGCAGGATGTTGGGGGGGAAAGGGGGGGGTGCATAAAGATTGGTTAGGGGTAAAGATGAGTGGGTGGGGACATAAGTGGGGGAAATCATGGTCTTATGGGGAATCAAGGAAATTTATATTTCCCACTACAGTATTTTAAAAATAGCTTTTCTTTTAGATTATGAAAAAATAAATAAATCTGATTTACAGTCTGATGCATAAGTGAAATAATTGATGATATGGAAAGAATTTGCATTCAAAATATTAAAATGAAAGATGTGATTACATTCTAGCTATTAGTTGTTGAGCTATTATGTCATAAGAAACAGTTAAGTCAAACATACCTGTACTTATAAATTGCAATGTAAGAATGACAGCCCCGAATTTTGTAAAGTTGGCATTTCAATATTTCTACTAATGACATAAAACTGGTATCATAACATTGAAAGAGGCGCATCCAACCTCTCGAACATCGTCTCCCCTAATTCAACAACAACGTTGAAAACAAGCAACAAATCCAACATCCAAAAATGGGAAGATTGGATGGATTTCGGGACTTCTTTTCCTAAGTGTATAATTCATAACATTAACTTCAAAAGTCTTCCAGTAGATTTAGTATACATGGACTTTTCTAAAGCTTTCAGTAAGGTACCATAATAAACAATAGATAACAAAGAAAGCAAAGGTCATCCTAAATAAAGGAATATGACTGGGAAAATGTGGTGAGTGGAGTAACTGCAAGGTTCCATCTTGGTGCCAAAGGTTTTTGTTATATACATTAATGACAAAGATGAGAATATTACAAACCACATCATCAAATTTGCAGTGATTGCAATAACATATTTTTTGAGACCAATACATTTCTTTCAGTGCTTAATAAATTTTCCGAGAGAAGGGAGAGAGGAGGGGACCAAGGGGAAGGGGGGGGGACAAGTGGGTGAAGAAGGAGATGGGGGTAAAAAGTGGGGAAGAGATGGAAAATAAGAAGAGACCCAGGAGCAGCCAGATACCCCTCTATATATATAAATGGAAGCTCGAGGTTGTTAGGGAAAGTGGGAAAGGTAGGGAGAGAGGGAGGATGGTGAGAAGGGGAGGAAAATGCAGGATATGAGAGGGAAAGGATGGGGAGAGAGGAGGGGACACTGAAAAGGGGGAGAGTGAGGAAAGGAGATGTAGAGAAAGGGGGAGACAAAAAAAAAAACGGTGGAATGGGGGTTGGGAGAGAGAGACCATACAAGGCACCCCAGGTACCCCTCCTAGTAGAATGTCTCTCCAAGGCTGGAGACCAGATGCTTGGGGCTAGCCTCACCCAACTTTTCAAGATTACACATGGGGGAAGGTATAGGAGTGCTATAGAGTAGTTGGGGTCGGCTCCAGTGCCACCCCTTTAAGAAATGTCAGCTCTTGGCTCTCTGTGATAGTCATGACATCTGAAATTGGGGATTTAATTTCCATAAAGTGCTTTAGCAGTTTTTTTCCAACAATTCGTAATATTAAATGATCTGAGAGAGAGTGTGGAGGGGGGGGAAAATTGGGAGAGAGATGGAGTGGAAAATAAGGGGAAGAGAGAGACTTGGGCACAACCGGATACCCCCTTTTAGTGTGTCCCCCCCCCCTTAGTATGTGTGTGTGTGTGTGTGTGTGTGTGTGTGTGTGTGTGTGTGTGTGTGTGTGTGTGTGTGTGTGTGTGTGTGTGTGTGTGTGTGTATTATATATTAGTGTGAGAAAGCTGCAGGAACACACAAGCCATAGATCACTAAGAACTAAGTGCCCATGCCATCCAGGATCATCCCTAAATACACACAGTACCGTGACCACCGCACCAATGATTGTCTGTAAATACACCAATGTATTAGACGATCATTGGTGCAGTGGTCACGGTGCTATGTACATTTAGGGGTGATCCTGGACGGAAAGGGTTCAAATCCTGGCCCGGTCAATTAGAGTTCTTAGTGATATATGGCTTGCTGTTCCTGCAGCTTTCTAACACATTATTATGTGTTGTGTAATAGATAATTATATTATATATTTATTATATATATTATATATGCATATGTATATATATAATGTATGCACGCCTGCAATTAACGTGTATGTGTGTTTGTTATGGAAACGAGACCATGCACAAACCAGATATTTATTTTTCCCCTGTTCTTACCCGTCTCTTAACGGCTTGCTTCTGGCGCATAAAATGTTTGCTTAAAAGCTCCCGGGATCTTTATTGGTCCGAGGTAAGTGCTGCTCTGGCACCTCCAGCCAGCAAGCCACCTGCCCAGCACGGCCGCAAGCCACCTGCCCGGCACGGCCGCAAGCCACCTGCCCGGCACGGCCGCAAGCCACCTGCCCGGCACGGCCGCAAGCCACCTGCCCGGCACGGCCGCAAGCCACCTGCCCGGCACGGCCGCAAGCCACCTGCCCGGCACGGCCGCAAGCCACCTGCCCTGCACGGCCGCAAGCCACCTGCCCAGCGCGCCTGCAAGCCACCTGCCGAGGATTGCGTGGGTGTGACCGGATTACGGAGGTCATTATCCAAGACTTGACACATCCGATTCTCATGTTTGGACAGGAGGCATAATATTATAAAATGCCTAATGAATATTATATAAAATATATATTATATATATAAAATATATATTATATAAAATATATTTTATATATATATATATATATATATATATATATATATATATATATATATATATATATATATATATATATATATATATATATATATATATATATATATATTATAAATATTATATATATATACAATTTATATATTTATATATATAAATTTTATATTTTATTTATTCGTATTAAACAGTGCACGCAATTAAGAACAAAAAATAATTCAAATATAATTTCCGATATATAATTTAAAAGCACACAATTTGCTTTTTGTGTGTGTGTAAATCACGAAGAAATTAACAAACAAGATATGGTGTACACACAAGAGCATACCCACTCATACCCTTAGGGGGGCCTAGTAGCCGATAGCGCGCAGGTCTCGTAATTCTGTGGCGCGGGTTTGATTCCCGCACCAGGCGGAAACAAATGGGCAAAGTTTCTTTCACCCTGAATGCCCCTGTTACCTAGCAGTAAATAGGTACCTGGGAGTTAGTCAGAGTTCACGGGCTGCTTCCTGGGGTGTGTATGTAGTATGTGTGTGGTGTGGGGAAAAAAAGTAGTTAGTAAACAGTTGATTGACAATCGAGAGGCGGGCCGAAAGAGCAAGGCTCAACCCCCGCAAACACAACTAGGTGAATACAACTAAGTGAATACTCATACACGCGTCCATACACACGGATATACTTACCTCTAAACACTAACCCCAAGCTGCTAGTAAGCTTTAAGCCGTACTCCTCGCTTATTCCACGTTTATGAATCAATAAAAGCTCTAAAAACAACCCTCTTTTCAAGTCTCCAAGTATTCGAATATTCCCATTGCGTGAAAACGGCCGGATAGGGGAGCGAGCCGACTCAGATCTATAGACTGACAGTCGGTTAAATGAGGTGGTGCTAAGAGTGATGGTCGTATCCGGCTTTAGAGATGTCTCGTAAAATGGAAGGGCGCTCGGATATGTAAGGTTTTAGTTGTGACTTCGGTATGCAAATGAGAAGGTGGTATTTTCAGAGCTCCGTGTTGATAGCCTGCCCAAGAGGCTGTTATCATGGTGTGTGTGTGTGTGTGTGTGTGTGTGTGTGTGTGTGTGTGTGTGTGTGTGTGTGTGTGTGTGTGTGTGTGTGTGTGTGTGTGTGTGTGTGTGTGTGTGTAGGGTCGACTATTTTTTTTATTACAATATTAGAACTTTATTTTATATAGAATGATCTAATTTATGATATAGCAGCCTATCCTCCTGTTATGGTAGTACTTATAGCAACGAAGAGGACCATAGTATATATACCGACGTACAACGCAAATTAGAAAGTAGAAATCGGTACTATTGAATTTGGACAAACCGGAAAAAGATTTTTTTATGTTGCAAAGACAAACTAAACTAACCTTCCTAGGCCTAATGCACGATATCCGAGGCCTAACAGTACACATGTGTGCTATACTAGGCCTAGGAATATTTATGTTTGCTTTTAGCTTCGTTTTTTGGACTGTAAATTCTACTATCTAATTACTTAAAACGTCAGTCTTTGCACTATGGTCCACGTGATTATAAATACTATCTGAACAGGAGGATGGGTTACAGCGACAACTGTAGTGGGTTGCATGCTGGGGAAGGTCAATATAGTAGGCCTAAGGGGGGGGGGGCATTGATAATCCTAAATACAGGCTTCCTGTCCCAGACAACGGTAATTTGTGCCTCATATAAACAATACTTCGCCTCTGAATAATATGGGTCCCGCCCGACCTTTCGCGTTGCCACATCGAACTTTAAACGACGTATTAAAACGCGCGCGAACGTACCAACACAGCTGTTTTATTAATATTTACATAAAATAATAATTGAAATGAATCTTCGTCTCTCACATTCGCCCCACTGACCCCATTCCACCTGTTCCCGCTTTACCCCTTAC